TAGTTTGGACACTAGTCATATGACTTATAATTATTATTGGGTCTAGATGTTGTAAGGGCTGAAGAAATATCCTTGGAAAAAGAAAAAAATAGCAATGTCGAAGTACAGAAGGCAAATAACAAATTACTTTGAGAAGTTCCATGTTTTTGTGTTTTTTTTTTTTTGAACAAGATACGAACTTTTCATTGATTAATGAAAAGGAACAAAAATGTTCAAAATACAAACTCCGAAAGGAGTGAAGAAAAATAAAAGAGACAATCACAGTAGAATCAACAGAAGTTAAAAGACACCACTAGGGGGAGATATAAATGCCTCTCAATTCATACATAGCATACTAGGAGAGTAAGAGGAAAAGATATCGGAAAGAACACACCATTGAGAAGTTTTGAACTTTGCGATTGAGAAACAATCTAGAGAAAGAGCGATTTTTCTTTCAAAGATTCTCTGATTTCTCTCGAACCACAATTTAGAGATGATAGTTTTAAAGCCATTGATCCAAAGGAGATTGGCTTTTGAATTGATCTGCAAACCATTAAGAATCTGAAGAATATTATGGGAGACTTTCAAATCCCAAACTCATGACATGTTGAACAATGAGTCGCATAAGAGCAAGTAAATAAAACATGCCCTTGTGACTCCCGACTTACTTTACACAAAGAAGTAAGAACATATCGAAGGTTGTAACATCATTGAAGGCATTTTCTTCTGAAGAGTATCCACAGTATTGACCTTGCCCGTAAGAAGGACCCAAGCCAGAAAATTGACCCTCTTAGGACAATGAGAGTTCCATAAGGTAGAAAAACCTCCTGGGGAATGTTGGAAACAGTATCCCCTTTCCTGCTTAACGAACGAACAGAGAAGATGCTCGAAGACTCCAAACTCCAAATCCTAACATCATCAGAATCATTAAGGGCCACTGAAGAAAGGAGTGATAAAAGAAAGGTCATATCTGAAACCTCCTCATCCTTCAACGAGCTTCCAAGAGGAATCACTACTGTCCCAAGCTTCTGCAACCATAATATAAGGTTTAGTAGAAATTCGATAAATTAAAGGAAATCCCTCCTTTAATGAGACATGTCCCAACTTTAAAGGATGCCAAAATAAACTCCGATAGCCATTCCCTACTTTGACATGGGAAAACAACTCCACCTCTTGCCAAGCTTTCAAAATATTATGTCAAGGACTTCGACCCGAATCAACCAACTTAGGCAATGTGCACGAGCCTCCATAATCCAACCCATAAATGCTAGCCACCATTGATCGCCAAAGAGCTAAGGTTTCCACGCTAAATCTCCAACCCCATTTGGCTAACAAGGCTTTATTCCTTTTGAAGAGATTTCCAATACCCAGACCTCCGATTTCTCTAGCTTGAGAAGATGTATCCCACCTTACTAGATGATTCACCGAGCCTTTTGAAGAATCTCCCCAAAAGAAAGAGCAAATACTTTTCTCCAACTGCTTTATAACTCTCATCGGGGCCTGAAAAATAGAGAAATAGTATAAGGGAAGATGTTGAGAACCGATTGACATAAAATCAACTTACCCCCCTCGAAAGTTGATACCGCTTCCATCTGTCTAACTTCTTGAAAATCTTGTCTTCAATGGGGCTCCAAAAAACGTCATGCTTAGGGTTGCCCCCTAAAGGCATGCCGAAGTAAAGAATCGCAAGAATTTATGCTTTATAGCCAAATTTTGAAGCCATCCACTGTATTTTCTATATACTCATATTCACACCACTCAGAGAGGATTTCTCCCAATTAACCTTCAGCCCCGAAAGCCATTCAAAGGCTTTAACTGTATCAAACAAGACTGCCAACATATCGTCACTATCTTTACTAAACAAAAGAGTATCATCTGCAAACTGTAAATCGAAGATATGTTCTGCATTTTGCCCCACTATGAAGCCCTAAATAACTCCTTCAGAATAAATGTGATCCATCATACTACTCAGTATATCACTCACAATCAGAAAGAGAAAAGGGGAGAGGTGATCCCCTTATCTTAGGCCTCTTGAAGCATGAATTCTTCCTCTCGGTCTCCCATTAATAAAAACAGAAAACTTGGTGTCTTTAATGCAGCCCTGAATCCACGAGATCCATTTACTTCCAAAGCCTTTTCGGCTAAGCACATCCAATAAGAAATCCAGTCTACTAAGGCAAATGCCTTTTCAAGATCAAGTTTTAGGATCCAACCACTCTTCTTCTTGATTCTGTAATACTCCACTATCTCGTTAGCAATAAGGATGGGGTCCATAATCTGTCTTTCACTTAAGAACGGACTCTGATTAAACGAGATAGTATGAGAAATAACATGTCTAAGCCGCTCAGCTAAAACTTTGGCCAAAAATTTATAAGTGGTGGTCGTAAGACTTATGGGCCGAAAGTCTTTAACCTTTTCCACTCTATCCTTTTTAGGAATGAGGCAAATGAAGTTTTCCCGAAGACATTTGTTTACATGGTCGTTTCTATGAAATTCAGCAAATAACCTTGGAAAGTCTTCCTTCCAAAACTTTCAGAACTTAAGGAAAAATCCTGGAGTGAATCCATCGGGTCCTGGAGCTTTGTTCTTCCCAAGCCCCTTTACTGCCTCCCAAATCTTTGCTTCTTCAAAACATCTTTCTAGCCACATTCGATTCTGCCAAGAAATAGGTTTCCACTAAAGCTCAATTGGATACAATTTTGGAATCTTTATTCTCTGGTATAGGCCCGAGAAGAATGAACAAATCTCAATTTCAATATCGTTTAAGTTTACTAAAGAATTCCCATTAGAATCATGAAGGTCTGAGATGGAAGCTTTGCTGCGTTTGGCTGCTAGAAATCTATGGAAAACTTGCTATTCTCATCTCCCTCCTTTAACCATCTAATCTTACTTTTCTGAATTAGAATATGTTCCTCACTGATGATTCTGCAACTTTAGCTTGAGAAAGTCCTATCACTTCTGCCTCTGAATCAATCATATTAATCTCCTCTGTGATCTTATCCTATCCTCAGATGCCTTCCTGACAGCTTCATTCTGAATATGCCATTGTCTAAGTGAAGATCTAAGAGATCTTACTTTGGAGGAAATCAAATAACTGGTCCAGCCATACGAATGATCATTTGAAAGCTTGGTTTCAATTAGACTTATACAATCTTTAGAAGATAACCAAGAGTTGAAGAACCAAAAAGGACAAGGTCCCCAACGTGAATCCCCTGCATCAAGAAAAATGGGGAAGTGATAAGAAGTGATTTGTTTTGCTCTTAAAACCCTGGATTTGCTAAACAGAGAAATCCAATCCTGAGAGAAAGAATCTGTCAATCAACGAATGAACACTGTCATTCCCCATCTTTGACCAAGTGAAGCCACCATTTGAGATAGGGATTTCAACAATATCTAAATTCTCAATCACATCGTTGAAGGTCTTCATAGCTTTCAAAATTCTTTCACCCGAAGATCTATCACCAATCCATTGAGTGACATTAAAATCCCCTCCAATACACCAGAATTTTTTGACGAGCCCCTTAATATCTCTGAGCTCTTGGCAGAGAAACTCTCTCTTTATAATTCGTCGGCCCATAGACATTTGTCACACACAAATTTGCAAGTTAGAAAAAGAACACAGAATTGTTAATGAAAAAACTCCATGATGAACCTCCTGCAATTGAATTTTACTCTCATCCCACATTGTGATCACCCCACCAGATTTGCCAGCAGAGTCTATGTGAGCCAACCAACATCCATTGAAATCCATATAGATTTTACAATAATATCATCTATATTTTGTAGTTTCGTTTCTTGCAAGAGAACAATATGTGGACAATGCTTCTGAATAAACCTTTTAATCTTCAACCGTTTTTTGTAATTACCAAGACCATAGACTTTCCAAGAGAAGACTTTCATTGGGATTTAAAAGATGGAGCGAGCATGAGACCAACTGTTTTAAAGAAGGTAGGAACAGAATAATCCGTGGGTCTTTGAGATGTCTAAGCTGAGACTCATTAAAAGTATCTTCTTTCAACTGAGATGGCTGATCATGTGAAAAACCTAGTAAAGTGAATGAAGGGTCACCTTTTAGACCAAAAAGATTAATAAAATCTTCCCCATAGGAAAGGTCCTTGAATTACATTGGAAATATTGCTGATTAGCTGGAATAGGGGTGACGTCAGGACTACTTATGACGACATTAAATTCCTCTTCATTTTCTAAAAGGATCTCATTTGGAATTGGATTCGTCAAAGCATTAAATGAATAAATCACACCTGTCTTTAACGGATTCCTCATGCTGGGCCTATCAACTTTATAATTGTCTTTAATATCTCCCGCTTTTTCGAAAACATTGAGAAGATTTAAAGGAGGGATATCTTTTAAATCCTTTGAAACCGAGCCTTTAGCGGGAAGAGAGAGAAATTTTTGCCTAGAAAAGTGGAAAGGGATAGCCTCCATAAATTTCCTTTTATTCTGTCCACCTGGCTCATAACTACCGCCTTTTGAGATTTCTTTAGTGTCAAGGGGTCATTATTAATACCCTGATTTAGTTCTTCCCCATTTTTGTGTTTTACTTTGTTCATTTTGCACATTTTTTTTATTTCCTTATATCGTGTCAACTGTTTCTTTTTTTTTTTTGTCAGCACTTCCCTGTTGTAAACTTTTTTTTTTTTTTGTCTCCATTCTCTTTTGAAAAACATGAGGAACAAAGCAATGTTATGTTTGCCTATCTCATAATTTGTAACTATGGGATGCCCAATCAAACATGCCGTCCTATCATCTGTAGTTAGACTGGATGCCGGCACTCTTATTTCAGCTAAACCTTTTAAGTAGTTTTGTTTTACTTGGTAAAACTATTTATTTCCAATTTTTCCTGAGGTTGTTTCCTCTCTACGTTTTATAGGAGCTATTAGGCTAGTTTGTGTTCTAATGTTTTTCTTTCTTATGAATAGGATTCTGTTGGTGCCTAATCTATGTTTGCTTGTATACATGTTGTGGTGAATGATGATTTTGATATATTGTCAATGGCGAAACAGGTAGGTTACTACTTTGCACCAAGTGGAAAGCCTTACCCTGATAATTGGATCATTACAGATGTCGTCTATGAAATTGAAGGGTCTCTCATTTCGAGGTTAGTGCATTCATACTGAATGAGTAATCATAAGAACTGAGATGCAGGAAATGGTTATTTCTCCTTGCTTATTGAAGATCTTGGCTGTTTAGATAATAGATGCCAAACTTTCTCCTTTAAGATCTCAAGTTTTGATATTATTTTATTGTTATTTTATTTAAATTGAAAAAACTTGTGTATTAATGGAAAACAAGAATACTAGGGGGTGACCATGAGTCAACATCTAAAGAACCAGGCAGGAATTGCAAACAAGACATCCGGTCTGCTAGAAAAAAAAGTGATAGTTGCAAAAATGTTTAGTGTTCAAAGCACAAAAGGGAATTATAAGTCATCTAAGTTGTAAGCTTTGACATGAAGCTAAAAGTCTAATATACTCTTTTATGAACTTGAATCACACTTACTCAACTGTATCCTTCTATCAGATAAAGACTTGAATTATGTTAATTCCTTTGTTCAGTTTCTCTGAATTAGTCATTGCACACAACAAATGCAATAACTTCCTTGTGAATTGCTTTTAACTTTTTGGTCTTATGCTCCCTATTTTGTTAAAAAGAATCAATTTCTTCCATCTCTAAAATTATAGTTCTTGTTCTTGTAGATCAGGGAATCAGGTGGATGGACATCCTGGTATTGCCAGTGGGGATGAGACAGTAAGTTGGCGAATAAGGAACATTGCTTCTTCATTAATGTAGGCTTCCATTTTGGTGCTGAAATTTCAGAAAGTGGAAATTCAGCATTGATGTAGAAATAATTCTCTTTTCTCAGGTACCGTACCATTCTCTCTCTTGGTGCAAAAGCTGGCTCGGACCGAAGGTGAACATAACAAGGGCTCCTCAGGTATTCACTGTCATTTATTAATGAGTTACTCTCGAGCTAATGAACTTTGAAATGACAAATGTATAAATTGTGAAGGACCTGTACATGCTAAATCGCATTACAAGAACTTGTTTATGATAATTCAACTGTTTTTCTCCATTAGCAAACTGAATGGAATTGGATTTTTTTTCTCCATTAGCAAAATGAATGGAATTGGATTGTTTTTATCCATTAGCAAACTGAATGGAATTGGATTGCGATATATTAGACACAATTTCTCTAATTTGTTCCACAGGCTTGGCTTCTTGAAAGAAATTCATGGACCTCGTCAAATTTAGTGCTGGCTGGCATTCTCAAGATTCTTG